CTTTCAATGGCTCTGGCTACATTGTTCTTTCTGGCCTCAATTTTCGCCATGGTGTTCGGTCTCGGCTCTCGCCGGTGCTGCGGTTTAGGGTTTACAAGGGTTTAGGGTTTAGAGGGTTTAGCCGTGTGTGTGTCCTGTTCGTGCTGTGACCCCTGTGACCTTGAGCTCCCGAGAGTCGATGCACGTGCCGTGCACAGGGGAAGTGTCTCATGGCCACATATCTGCACCGGCCTTTATAACTAAAATAGGGTTTGGGGGCCCATTATACTGTAGATATAAGAAAGAACCTCCAAAATATATGAGAGGCTGAAATTCAAGGGCCCAAAAAAGGACATAAGCCTATCCTTGTTTTTGCTTTGTGCTTTTTGGTGCCCCTACTCTTATGTCCACCACTCCAGGCATGTTTTCAAGAAGAAATTTCCAAACTCTAGGCACTAAAACCCAATCTTGAAATTAAAACTGGAACTGTCAGTTCCAGTCCTTTTTGGCAATCGGACGGCCGTTGACCGTCGTGATTGCCATCAATGGGTCTAGGGTTTAGGTTTAGGGCATCGATCCCATCGCACTTACTATCAGCCTCATGGCCTTCGCTAGTCCTCGTTACATGCGCCACAGATGCGAGGGGTCCGTCTGTTTGAGGGACCTCAGGACACTTCCCCGAGTTGCAGCGGTCCGGTAGAGTGAGAGAAGACTGCGGAGAGTTTAGAGAATGGGCTTTTGGCATTACCCTAAGCCCGGCTCAGGGCTTATACAGGTTTGAGGTTGTTTCCGTAGCTGTCCGAATACTTGTGAGAAGTTATGGTACATCATGTACGCGAACCCCATCAACTGTGTTATGGCCACTTGGGATGATCTACCTATGCCCATGACTCGTGTGGGTAAGGGCTGGTACCACACACCTTGAGAGGGCTGTTCCAACAATTCTGCGCCACTCGGATTCGCAGGGACCCTCAGAAGGACCCGTAAGTCATGCTGTCATGCGCCAGAACCCCGCCTACATTTGGACCAGCCGGAGCAATGGACACGAGGGACCTATCACAAACCCAATCCGTTTAGGTCAGTCAGCTGCCTCCAGCAAAGATAGGCCAGCAGAAGGTGAAGGCTTAGGATGTGACGTGTGTGTCGTCGTTGACACAGGGTCCAGGCTTTTCATGGTAGCCTGACAAACCCTTAACCTTGCAGCTAGTGGCAGCTAGCGTTGATGCCAATACCAGCTGGTTGTTTGCGTTCTTTGCAGTCTCCTGCAGCCAACCCAATGTGCCCAAGATGACGACGGCGCAAGCTGGCACACAGTCCAGGAGCAAAGGGCCCTCTCAACCCAGAGATCTTTTACTTGTAGGGAGCCTTTTTTGAGCCTTTTTTCAGTGTGTGGCCATACAGTTATCATACCTCAAACCCTAAACCTGAAGCCCTACATGTGTAGCGGTGTAGGGTTTAGATAGATGACCGTGTTGCGTATGGCTGATGCTGCGTTGCTGTCAGAATTCAGTAGTAGTAGGAGTAGTCGTCGTCGTCGTCGTCCTCGTAGTGGTCGTGGTCGTGGTCATCGTCGCAGGCGTAGTCGTAGTCGTGGCAATCGCAGTAGCAGTAGCAGTAGCAGTGGTAGTAGTAGCAGTAGCAGTAGCAGTAGCAGTAGCAGTAGCAGTAGCAGTAGCAGTAGCAGTAGCAGTAGCAGTAGCAGTAGCAGTAGCAGTAGCAGTAGCAGTAGCAGTAGTAGTAGTAGTAGTAGTAGTAGTAGTCGTCGTCGTTGTTGTAGCAGCAGCAGGCGCAGCAGTAGTAATAGGCATGCACTAGATTGCTGCACTAAGCAGTACTTGCAACAAGGATACTACTGAAACAGGTCGGAATTTGTTATGCTCTATCCAACATAGCAGTAGTATTTAATCGTCGCAGTACTACTAGCTGCCAAAGCGGGAACAACAATCACAGCTGAGCAACAGATTGATACTGGTAATATTCGTGGTAAATCGAATTCAAGATGCCCACTTCCGTCGCGAGCCTCGCCCTCACCCATGCTACGACTTGCAGACTTGTAGTCATGGTAGGTGAAATGTTTATGGTAGTGATCGGCATGACGGTCGTCGGTCATAGGAAGACGGTGAATAAGACCAACATTTGTCACAGTCGTAACGTCACAGTTCATACTGTTTTGTACCAAAAATGCCAACTCTGAGCCCTGAAGGCTAAACCTCATACCATCTGACCCTAAATCCTGAACCCTAAGCCAACCTCTGCTTTCCTCACTTATGGCTCGGGCCTTTGGCGGTGCTTTGGGGGCCGATTTTAGGTGCCGAGCGGCCCTTTCCGTGCCCAGCGCCTTGGCAGCTTTAGGTCCTTCCAGGATTACTTAGAGGTCCAGGGGACTTAGTAAGTAGGTTATAAGTACGGTTATAAGTACCCTGAATGGAGTTACCCCAATTATAACCCCACTTATAACCTACTTACTAAGTCCCCTGGGCCTCCAAGTAGGCTTAAGGGTAGGATTTGGGGTTAGCCAGGACCCCCCCAAGTGAGGGTTCATGCAGTTTTTAGCATGATGTGTTTTTTTGTGACACTTCGCAGCAATACTGTTCTTAAGTGTAACATAGGGACTTACTTGGAGGCTCAGCGTAGTTAGGTAAGAGGGTTTCAAGCTGGAATTCTATTAAACCCCAGCTCCGGTGAAACTTATAACTTATAACCGGTGGCCTAAGTTCCCTTTTCGGCGGTTTAGGGTTTAGGGTACACCTCCATCGCCGGACATGATACTTTCTCACACCTGGGGTCAGGGCCTTCAATTGAGGGGCTGGGGTCAATTGCACGCCCTGAAGCGCAGCAGCCTGACATCCAAGGCTTTCCCCTCGCGCTGTGCTGTTCGCAGCCTGTCCCAGGACCCCTGCGTCCTGTTGGGTGTAGGATAGTAGCAATGTAGCCTGGTGTTTGGGGAGTCGATGTCGTCATTGGTAAATATTGCAAATGCTGATTGGTATTACATTACTAGGTAGTTGACCCCTTCGACCTCGAGGAACAGATAATATAGGGGGCCTTGAAATCGGGTTTGGGGGTCCATTGTACTCTAAATTTCAATAAGGAACCCCCCCCAAAACAGTGTAGGTAATTAAGTGGGTAATTACTAAGACCCTATAGTACTATGTATTGTACTATAAATATTCTATAAATCATAATAATAAGGAATCCCCCCCAAAAAAAACAGTGTAGGTAATTACCTAGGCCCCTACATTGCAGCCTTATGGTACCCCTATAGTATTCCTTAAGGGAACCCTATGATACATGAGTTTTAGGCCTCTATAGTAGAAGCCAGAAAGTTGGAACATCAGACTCCTCATGCCTGAAGGTAAAGTATAAGGGATCCTAGCACTAATCCTCCTAAAGCCATGTTCCAACTTTCTGGCTTCTACCGTAGAGTGATAAATCGCGATGAGCTCAGGGGCCCTCAGGTCTGAGGAGGCACAACTTGGCAAGATAACCCTGGGCCGGGTAGTGCAGAAAGCCTTGGGTTCAGGGTTTAGGCGTTTAGGGGGCTTGGGGGTTTGGGGGTTCAGGGGTTTAAGGGTTTAGGGTTTAGGGGTTTAGGGGTTGAGGCGTTTAGGGTTTAGGGGTTTAGGGCGTATAGTTAAGGCTTATAGGCTTGTTTGAGAGGCAGTTTCAAGACATGTTGGTTACCTACTTGTAGCTGCAAGAGCTTGTACATGAGTCTGTGTGCTTGGGACAGGCTTGTGGGAGCAGCACACAAACCTCAACTGAGCGAAGGGTATATAGCACGCTCAGTAGGCCCCCTAAACAAGGGAGTGCAGGACCCATTGGGTTTTGAAACCCTAAACCCTAAACCCTAAACCCCTAAACCCTAAACCCCTAAACCCTAAACCCCTAAACCCTAAACCCCTAAACCCTAAACCCCTAAACCCTAAACCCTTCGCTCGGTTCAGGTTTGAGATGGCCCGTCACACGGTGCACACGGAAGCACAAGACCCCTATAGTCTGAGCTGACCCTAAATTCTAAACCCAGCTGTCTAGGGTTAAAATTCAACCCCAAATAACCTACCCTTTTTAAGGACTCATATAAGGAAGTCATAATAAGGATCCCTACAAATGTAGATTCCTTAGGGTCCCGGGAGGTTTTAGGGATAGTTCGGGGACAAAGACCTGCACACAGTGCAGGGTGCCAGGCCGATGGCTCCTTATCGTGTTCACTCCACGCTTTAGGGTTTTGGGTTTAGGGTTGAGGCTTTCGGATTTGCTATGGTTTAGTACTGGCCTGACTTCTTCCTGCTCCAAAACGAGCTTGACATATCAGGAACAGTAGCGTCTTCCTCACTTCACCCGAAGCATCGAACCCAACAAGTCATATCCTGCGACATGTCCAGGAAGTAGAGCACATTCTCCGCATCACGGCAGCATTCGAGACGTGCGGGGATCTGGGTGCTTCACGTTGTCCTTCAGATCCAACCAAAAGCCCCAAGTGCCGAGTGTTTGGGTGCTTTGGTTGGATCCTGGAGGTATGGCTCGATAACCCAGGTTCTATAAGAAAACTTTCTTTAATTTAAGAGTTCTACAAAGGTTCTATTAGAAGGGCTCTGCTAGTGCTAGAAGGTATCCATGCTCGAGTTTTGAAGGTTGGATGCTTGGCTGCAAGCATTCCTGGCCTGTTATGGACTTGTCCTGTCGGGAGTCCTGTCTGTCCTCCCAAAGCCCAAAACCTTACACCCTAAGCCCCCAACCTCCAATCTATCAACCCCAATCTTAAACTCCAAACCCAACGCTTAAACCCGCAACCCTAAGCGCACAACCTTAAACCCTACACACAAACCGTAAGCCCTAAACTCGAAATCTTGAACCCTAAACACCCAGATCCTCCGTTCTGAAAGAACTGCGACCATAAGGGCTGAGGTAGTTGAAGGTTCCAGAAAGCACTCTCACGGTTCTTCGACATGTGCTGTTCAGGTTTAGCGCTTAGGGTTACTAAGGTGTCTATCACTGTGCCAGCATCTCGCGGTGAGGTCATGATGAAGCTTGCAACTTTGGTGTTGTCCGCCCCGCTCTTGGCCACTGGGCTGGCAAGAGCCCTCGAGTCGGAGCCCTAAACCCTAAAACCCAAGATCCTAAACCCTAAACCCCAAGATCCTAAACCCCAAACCCCAAGATCCTAAACCCAAAACCCCAAAGCCCTAAAACCCCAAACCCCAAGATCCTAAACCCCAAACCCCAAGATCCTAAACCCTAAACCCGAAGATCCTAAACCCTAAACCCCAAGATCCTAAACCCCAAACCCCAAGATCCTAAACCCTAAACCCGAAGATCCTAAACCCTAAACCCCAAGATCCTAAACCCCAAACCCCAAGATCCTAAACCCAAAACCCCAAAGCCCTAAAACCCCAAACCCCAAGATCCTAAACCCCAAACCCCAAGATCCTAAACCCTAAACCCGAAGATCCTAAACCCTAAACCCCAAAGCCCTAAAACCCCAAACCCCAAAATCCTAAACCCTAAACCCCAGGATCCTAAACCCTAAACCCCAAGATCCTAAACCCTAAACCCCAAGATCCTAAACCCCAAACCCTAAAGCCCTAAACCCAAAACCCTAAGCATTGTGTTTTGGGGGTGACCATCAGAGACCCCCCCCCCTCTCTGCGACGTTAGATTCCGGATATACATCTAGAGATCCTTCAGTTAACCTATCATTTCTGGTCACCGGGAGATGCGCTCCGGAGTTCCCTCTGTGACATTAGAATCGGGAAGCATCAAGAGGACCTGAACTCAAGCAATCAAGTCTGGAGTTACCGGGAGATGCACTCTGGAGGGGCGATTGAGAGCTGGAGGGTGTCGGTACGCCACTGGGCGCCGAAAGCCTTACTTTACAGTACATACTAAATATACTGTTGTATAATATAATACCTGGACCTTTCGCTGGACTCCATGGGTTAGAGTTCACATTCCGGAACATCAATCCCCTGGCGTGAAGGTTACCCTAAGGGCCTTGTGCCAATGTGTTATCGACTTTTTGCTTGCCAGGGGTCCTCTACAGCAACTCCGGGGCGGCTTTCCACCTTTCGGTTACATGGGCCCTAATGTGAGCTTACGGGCTCGGATGTATCTGTAGTTTGTGACACCGAGTATTCCTGCGCAGCCTCTCCGTCGCAATCCCGTGATATGATATACTCCAGACAGCCTGCTTGTGCCTGTTTGTATTACTGCACCGTCCAGCACCAGCCAGAATGCTACAGTGTAACAATCAGCCTTTCAGTCTGGAGGCATATACATCGAGCGGCCTTGGTTGTCTTTTCCTCTTCTGGTGCTTACCCTAAACTCCCCAAGCCCTAAACCCCAAAACCCTATAAACTCCAAAATCCGAAACACCAAAATCCTAAGCCTTAAACCCCAAATCCAGCATCCTAAATGCTAAACCAGAATCCCCTAAACCCTTTGTGTTGTTCAGGGGTTTGAACTCTCTGCTTCATTAAGGGCTTTGGGCTTAGGGCGACCATCCGTCCTCCCAGCCGTCACCCGCACATGCCCTAGACTTTAAACCTCAAAACCTCATCAAAGCTGCGAGCAAAAAACAATCCCCTTGAGCACTGGGATCCGAACTTAAGCCTTAAACTTCCTAAGTTCCTAAAAGCCCAACAGGCAGTCGTAGGTCTTGCAATGCTGTGAAAGCCAACCAAGGCCAATGCAGCAAAGGCCGGCTTTGTGGGTGGTGGGGGGGGGGGGGGGGGGGGGGGGGAGAGTTTGACCGTGGTTTAGGGTTTAGGGGCCTTAATAATGAGAATATGGTTTGGGGTGTCTCTATACTTGAAATATGGTATAATATACCCCTTCCCCGCCCAAGCCCTAGTCTAATCCTTAAGGCCCATACAGTACGCGGCACTTCAGGGTTTTTGGATGAAGCGTTCTATACCTTGGAGTTTAGGCTGTCGATTCTGGGTTGGGCCCGGATGTATGGAGAAGCATATTGGTTTTGAACCGTTGTTTTTGTGATGTCTTCTGTGCTTTCCGCAGGATACAGGCAGGTGACAACGATGCGACTGAAACTTACACTTGCTACTTCGCCCGTGGCCAAGACTACGGCACTACCTCTACTGCTGCCGCCAATGCTACTACACCCTAAAGCCCTAAACCCCTAAACCCTCGGCGTGACCCTACACCCTGAACTGTAATATCGAGATATATCGAGCCACGAAGCAAGGGAACTTCATGTCTTTCAGGGATGAAAGCCAAGGCTCCTGGTCGCTTCAGCAGTTTCGAAATAGGGACGTGCAGAAGTTGTAAGCAGAGTAGAAGCGGTAGCAACAATGCATGACCAGGTCGTCGGCAAGTGCGGTGCTCAGCGCTTTCAGTAAGTAGTTGCTGTGGCATCATTCGCGGGTGTTGAGAGTTTCGGCGTGCCTCAGACTTCATAACACTTTGCTTTGACTGGAAGCCCTTAGCCTTAGTCCTAAGCCCTATAAATCCCGAAAACCTAAACCCCAAAATCCTAAACCGCAAACCACACAACCTGAATCCGTAAACTTAAACGGTTTCACTGTCAGCACTGAGGAGGGCTCTTCCCCTCGTGTTTTCAGATTCGGAGGTCTTCGCCGTCCCGACTGTGTCTCATACCCTATACAGCTTAGCATGCATGCTTAGGATTTAGGGTTTAACTATTGTCGTGGGCGTAGATTTAGGGTTTAGGGTTTATAAGCCCTAACCGTAAACCCTATACACCCATACACTAAAATCCTAAACCCTAAACCCTAAACCCTATACACCCATACACTAAAATCCTAATCCCTAGAGCCCTGAGGCTCCAAACGCCAAGCTGTAAGCCTTAAGCCCACCGGTGGAGAGGGCTCCCTAAACCCCTAAACTCCATAGGGGACACTGTAAGTACGATTTTAAGTAGAGTTATAAGTACCCTAAGTGGAGTTACACCAAACATAGCCCCACTTATGCCCGACTTGCTAAGACCCTGGGCCTCCAAGCAAACCTAAACCCCCCCTTATAGAACCCCCTGCAGATCATTTTAAAGAGCCTTTTAACGAAGCCTCAAGGAACCTTCGTTCCACTACGGGCCTCTGAGGACGATATTCTAAACCCTAATCCTAACACCCTGACACCCTAAAGAACCCCTTGACGACTGAGGACGATGTTCGAGACCTCGGAGGACAATCCGTGCCCCAACGGACTGGAGAACCGCTACCCGCGGCTGGGCTGATTTGGGGTTCGACTTGGAGGCCCAGGGGACTTAGTTAGTAGGTTATAAGAACCTAAACTCCCAAAAGTACGTAAAACATGGCCCAAAACCTTCAAAAGGCTATTATTCTACATACTTTTAGGGTGCAAGTAGGGTTATAACTGGGGCAACTTCAATTAGGGTACTTAGAACCCTACTCATAACCTAATTACTAAGTCCCCTAGGGGTTTAAGTAACCCTAAGACCCCCTTACAGAACCCTTATAGATCCCTTTTAAGGAGCCTTTTTAAGGAACCTTAATTACTAAGTCCCCTTCTGGGCCTCTAAGGAGGCTTCGGCCGTTTAGGGTTTAGGCCCCCGGCCAGCTTTTGCCTGGCTTTAGGGTGTAGGGTTGGCCCTAAAGCCTAGTACCTAAACCCTACCTGGATCCTAAGGAACCTACAGTTGTAGGGATCATTTTGGCTTCCTTGTGTGAGTCCTTAAAAAGTCAGGTTATTTGGGGTTAAGGTAAACCCTAAACCGCAAAACCAAAAACGCTAAACCGTTTACGGCTCAGCGTTTAGGGTTTAGGCAGCATGGATTTTGGCCCCTCTGGATATGTTCTGGATAAGTAACCTACCGTGACTCCCTTCAATGGAGCCCTTACGGCTTATAATAGTGGGTATTTAGGGCATACTAGAGGGTAGTTGGAGGGGTCCAAGTCCCCAACAGGACTCTTGTAGGGCTTAGGGAGATGTGAAGAGAGTCAGAGGCATGGGTGAGCATGCAAGCTCTTTGGTTCAGTGTGAACTTGAGGCCTACTGGGGCTTCAAAGCGCCCCAAAGATTGAAATCTACCTGGGCCTCATAAAACTGACCTTCTGATGGCGCCTTGTCATGTGTTCCTTGTAACAGTTGTTGCAAAGGTCGGTTATGTAGGGTGCAGGTAAGCCCTAAGACCTGCACCCTTAACCCTAAACTTCACCAATACCCTCAACCCTAAACCCTAAACTTCATGAATACCCTCAACCCTAAACCCTAACTTCATGAATTCCCTCAAACCCAAACCCTGAACCGGTCTTCCGTCTATACCTGAAGACTAGGGGCCGATACCGCTTCGACACCCAAAACATTGAAGCCCTCACCTGGTCGCCTGCTTCATAAGCTGCGCTTCTTCTAGGGCTTTAGGGTTTAGTTAGGGGGTTTAGGGTTTAGGGGGTTTATGGTTTAGGGGGTTTAGGGTTTAGGGGGTTTAGGGTTTAGGGGGTTTAGGGTTTAGGGGGTTGAGGGTTTGATTGTAACCCTGAATAAGACAGGGGTTTCATTGATCAGACGTTGGGCATTACACCTGAAGCCGTAACCTTCAATCGTTTACCCTACAGCCTCAGAGCTCTAAACCCTCAGCTCTCCAACCGCTTCAGGAAGTCGCTTGAGAAGACCTACGTCATCGCGAAGGACCCAGTCAATTCACGGCAGTACGCGTTTGAATCCAATGGTTGGATCTGTCGTACCTAGTCGTAAACCTTGACCTATTTGCCTCTGCACCCGAAAGCCTAAACCCTACACCCTTAAACCCTGAACCCTAACCCCGAAAGCCTAAACCCTAGACCCTTAAACCCTACACCCTAAACCCTACGTAGCATCCTCGTGAGGATCACGGCCTGAACCCCCTGGATGCCATCTGGGACACCGAGAAGCTTCGTGCGGCCATGAAGGATGACAAGGCCGCGCTCTCAGTCCTCTGGGGGGCATCATCTGTTTAATTAAGGCTGTAGGGTGTAGGGTTTAGGGGCTTGGGGTTTGGGGTTTACATCTGCTTGGAGGCCCAGGGGACTTAGTAAGCAGGTTATAAGTACGGTCATAGGGTACATCAAACCCTACTTATAACCTACTTACTAAGTCCCCTGGGCCTCTGAGTGGGGGTTCAGGTGTTGAGTTGTAGGTTTGGGGTTTAGTGACCCTAGCCCCTGAGAAATTCCAAGAAGGTTATGATTTTGTGCAGGTCTCCTAGGTTTCACATTTCGAAGCGGGAATAACCAAGTACCAGAATTGCTGCTGATGGACAAAATCCTGCATGACCCTAAGGACTCTAAACTATGGGAACTGTGGTATATTCCTTATAAAGGGTAGTGCAGGATTTTGTCCATCAGCAGCACCACCCCAAAATCCCTGTTTTACTGATTTAGGTCTATATTCGACAAGGCGACTCCTTGCATCCTCTTGCCTCAACAATCGAGAAGCGTCAGAGCTAAGGGGTAAGTTATAGTATACTCATAATGAGGAACCCTAAGGAATGGACATATGAATGATGCCCATTTAACATTTAGGTTCCTGTAGTACTGTAGTAAGCTCATTCTGGAAGAGGTGCTCTTATATAGACGGATGCCTAACTTCAGCAACACATGGGCATGATTGGACTTGGCTCAGCCGATCTAACAGACTAGGAGCGGGTTGAATAATTCGTTTAACGATATTATCCCCTTATAGTTCCTATATAAATATGCGTCTATTCTAACTGTTAAGACACCTCTTTGCTTGTAAATACTATGTGGTTTATGCTCGATGATGGCCCCGAACAGCTTCCCTGTGCCGAAACCGCCTAGCCTTAAGCCCAAAGCCTTGAATCCTAAACCTGAAACCCTAAGTCCCAAAACCTTAAACCCTAAACCTTACAAACCTTAAGCCCGAATCCCCAACCCTAATCCCGAATCCCCAACCCCAAACCCTATATGTAAACCTTAAACTCGAACCCCCCAAGCCTGTTTCACTGCAACTAATTTCAGCTGCAAGGAGTGGCAGATTGGCCTGCTCCTGAGACTTTCGTCAAGGGGCCTCCGCTTTGTCTGTACAAAACATGCAACCATTCATGACTGTAACAAGGTTCTCGGGCATACGATAACATAACTACGCACAGAATATAAGGAGATACTGGTACAACCCTTTTCAGACCCCTATAGTATCAGTTGCATGCAAGTTGGTGCACTACATTCACTATAATAAAGACGACAGGTAACTGCATGCGCGTGTTTCTGATCCTCGTATTCCGTCAGCGGTTTTCGGTCCTTCCATGCTTAAGCCTCGTTGCTTCTGGGACCGGATACCCTGAACCTTCTCAGCCCAAAGCACTTACCAATCTATGGCAGAGCTGCTAGCTGAATCTATCCGATACCTTTAGGGTTTACCTGTAGCCGAAAGGACCTACCCTTTTAAGGAGCTATATATAGGAGCCATAATGAGGAACCCTAAAAACAGGTCGGTCTTTTCGGCTACAGGTAGGGTTTAGGGTGTTCCGCCCTCCTGTTCGCTAGAGATAAGCCCCGGATACTCGACTCCGACAAGTCCCGAAACCCCCAAAACTTGCCCGAAGACACCACCCCCTCAACAAACGAGTAATGTAGAAGACTGGATATCTAGCATCACTATCCCTTCGGTTAGTTCGAAGATAAGAATAAGTTGTCCCTAACTAACCCCCGTCTCTTATCGTGAAACTCCGTCTATTTCGCTGCGAAGCCCCGAAGTTCGAAGCCCTTCAGACCAAAGCCTCGGAGCCTACACCCTGAACACGCAGATGACCTTACGGTACTATGCTAGGGTCCACTAGTTTCGGAAACTCCCAACTAGAGAACTCGCAACAGCTACGGTTGATGATATAAATCCTGCATTACCGATAATAAGGAATATACCATAATTCCCATAGTTTAGGGTTCTTACAGTAGTGCAGGATTTATATCATCAACCGTACCTCTCCGGAACCTGTAGCCTCAATGCCTCAGGCCCTAGAATACAGAACCATAAACTTTTAAACCGCCCCAAATCCCAAACGGCCTGAGATGCCCTATAACTAAACCAAAAAGAAAACACTAAACCGTATAAACCCCTAAACCCCAACCCCCGAAAGCCTTAAACCCCATAAAGAAGAACCGGCAGCACGAGCTCAACTGGTGGAGCTTTGCGTGCATTGCTTCCAGCTGGGCTATGGCAATCCCTGAACCCTAAATGGCCTAGATTTTTTTAGGGCTCCTTAATCTTCTGTGTTTTCCTTATATAAGTCTATAGGGTCCAGGTCTTGCTGCCACGAGCATGCTTCCAGCACTGCTTGCCCATGTGCGGGCAGAGACTGCGAAGGCCATCGTTCTTTGGCTTTCACCGCCAGCGGTGGTTGTGTCCAGTGCTACTAACCCAAAGGCTCCATGTGCCCATATAGTAGGTACTTAAGCCTTAAAGTACCCATATAGGGATCCCGTTAAGGCCTAAGTGCCTACTATGTGGGTACATGGAGTCTTAGGGTAAGATCTTGTCCGTGTTCCCGCCAGGTGAAGCTGGGCTGGTGGCAACCCTAAACCTCAAAACCCTATACCCCGGATCCCGCAGCCTCAGGTCTTAACGCCCCAAACCCCAAAGCCCCAAACCATCCTAGATCCCAAGTCCCAAAACACTGAGATTTCTTTAGCAACCTCTTGGTCCCGAAAACTCCAGACTCAAAACCACCAAAATGCCCGTAAAGGACCCTGTAAAGGCACCCTATTCTAACCATTAAGGCCTCCATCTACATTCGGCACGAAGTCATGCAGCTAACACCACCAAAACCCTCAACAAAGCTTAACTTTCTGAGGCAATCATTGGGTCCTCAAGGCGAAGTACTCCTCGGATTCCGACGTCGACCGGACCTTCGGCTTTGCTGGTCCGAACGGAGGCCCATCGTTGGGGTTTTTGTGTTTAGGGTTTTAGGGCTTCTAGGGTTTATAGGGTGACGGTTTTTGTGTGGAAGGTTTAGGGCTTTAGGGTGTAAGGATTTAGGGTGGGGGTTTTTGTGTTTTGGGTTTAGAGCTGTAGGGCTGTAGGGTTTAAGGGCTCAGGGTTAGGGTTTTCTGGTTCTGTTAATAGGGGAGTTCTTGTGTTTTTCGGGGTTAGAGCCTTGGGCATAATTGAGGGGGTTAGAGTTTCAAAGTTGTGTCATCAATTAGGGCTGTGTGGCATCTATGAGGCTCTTGCATCGTTGAATATGGACTTCAGGGAAATGTCAACTTGATCCCTAAACCCTAAACCCCAAAGCCTAAACCCTAAACAAAATGCCAACTTGATCCGTTACAGATGGGTTCTGCCTGAACAACTCTGCCCGAAGATCTGCAAGTGTTGATGTCACACACGGCTTGTTAACTAGGTAGGCCTCGATTCGGGATAGTTGTGGATTCCCCTTATTGTTTCGTTCAGAGCCCCAATTTTGAACACCTAGTTAATACTTGTTGATCTACGCTGCCATTTTCCACACCCAGCCCATGCCCCCTACTTGGCGATCAAAATCTGCACGCCAACATAAAGTCTTGAAATCTACCCCTCGCTAGGGACGTTCGTAGGATATGTTTAGCTGCTTCTGTGGCCCCAAGGGTCCAAGTACCTGATAATCATATACTCTCCAAAATCCTAGCCTACGTAACTACTATCCCAAAACCGAGTACCTGATTATTGGGTCCTTTGGACCCTTGGGGTGGGGGGCTTCTGCGAGACAGGCTTCATGACCATCACGGTGCCCAAGGGAGCGCCACGTTCGCACTGTGTATCCAAGGGGAAAAGGAGGGACCCTTAATAAGGACCCCTAGGTATATACCCTTAATATAGCTATTATATACCCATTATATAGCCCATTATAGGGTAGGGGTCCCCATTAAGGGTCCCTCCTTTTCCCCTTTGACTGTATGCTTGGCCTAAAGTGCCAAGCTATCGATGCAGGCCTAGGGTTCAGCGGTTTTTGTGGGTTGAAGTTTAGGGTTTAGGGAGGTTGCTTAACTCTGCGCCACATGCCTTTCTCAAAGTTCAGGTTTAAAGCGCCTCAAGCTCAATAGCTATAGAAGCTCCAGGTGGCTTTCGAAGATTTCCACAACTCGCGGGTTCAGTTTGATTTTGCTGGACAAAGGGCTGCCAAGACGGCTTTGCCATAAGCACCCCGCACGATCGCGTGAATAGTGGTATGAAGAGCCACAGAAGCGCTGGGCATAATGGTACTCGTCGTCGTTGTCTTCGGGTCTTCGGAGTGACTATGGTCGTAGTCGTAATTACTTGTCGTCGCCGGTGTCGTGGTGGTAGTGGCAGTAGTGGTAGTAGTGGCAGTCGTGGTAGTGTTGATAGTAATTAGTGGTGGTAGTAGTAGTAGTAGCAGTAGTAGTAGCAGTGGTAGCAGTACTAGTACTAGTACTAGTAGTAGTACTAGTGCTAGTACTAGTACTAGTACTAGTACTAGCACTAGTAGGACGAGCTGCAGCCTCTGTGTTTGCTTACCCCGACTGCCTACATCCAAGGCACAGGGGAAGGTGATTGAGGCACGCCTGCCGTGTGCTGGGGACATGAACGGGAGGTGTCTTTGTCATTTGTTTCCACGCGTTCAGTAGCGGTAGACTGCCAGATGTTTTGAGATTTGCTCGTGATTGGTTGTCAGTTCATGTTTTTGGTTTAGCGCTAAAGTTTACGGTGGCTCAGATTGAAACTAACTTGGGGACTGGGGAACACGGCCACGCCAGATTTTAAGCACTGGCGGTGGAGCGGAGATGTCTGCTCACAGGGCGGCTTCAATCACCCGCCTAAGGTGATCCGACAACCAAAACTCTGGAATTCAGGAGGGAATATGCGGTTTAGGGTTTAGGGTTGGGGGAGTTGGCACTGGGGTGTAGACTTTTTTGCTGATGGAGTTTAGGGTCTTGGGTGACGTCCGGTGACATGTTATCCCCTCACAGCCCCTATGTAGTAAGTTATACTATAACATACCTCAAAAAGCTGTTCTAATTGTTGAGGCTCAAGACTATGTCATGCTAAGGGTCTAGTCCAATTCTTCGCGGTAAGACCCTGGCTTCAAGCACAATCGGGGAGCACACATGGGAGTTTCCGAAAACAGGGGACCCTAATATAGTACCTAAATAGTAGGATCCTTATTATAAGGACTCCAAACTAAGGTACCCGGTACCCCTATCTTCGGAGACTCCCACATTATCCTTGGCTGCCCAATTCCAGGAAGCAGAAAGCCAAGTGTTCATGCGCCGTCCCTGTTCTCAAATCTTTGCGCAGTGTCCGATCTGAGCTAACAGAGAAACCAACAGCAGGGGGTTTCCCGTTCAGAGTTTAGGCTGTATTACTTAACACACCCGAACTGTCTGGGGAAAATGTCCGATTATGACCCCAGTACCCTAAGCCGTAACCCCAAAGCCCCAAACCCCCGACCCCAAGGACCACCCGTACAAATCCTAGAAACAACCCTAAAGACCGTTTAAGTTTCAGGGCTTGAGGTTTAAGGGGTTTAGGGTCAGGGTTTGGGGGGTATAGGCTTTACAGAACCCTCACAACTAGGGGTTGACGGGGGTTTCTTTCAGGGTGCGAAAGAGGGGGGGGTGCCCCCATGGAATCCGCCACATGGCCGACGGTATGTCTCGACTTCGCCCGAAGGGCTGCTTGTCTGAACGAGCCCTTAGCTAGAAAGCCAGAAAACCCTAAATCCTAAACCCTAAGCCTAGAAAGCCCCTCAAAACATGTCGTGAAGCACGATTTATAGGTTTTCCAGAATCCTTAACCATGGCCGTAAATAGCTTAACTTAAAGAACCCGTGTTCCAGCCCGTATAAATAGTATGAGGGGAGCCCGGGGTGAGAGGTTCACCTGAACCGCGTGGGGCTTAGGAGGCATGCAATCCTTAACCCTATTGTCAAGTGTCTTGAAGTTCTAAACTCTTGAAGACCTAAACTATGAAGACCAGACCTCAGGCTTTTTCAAGTCTGCTTCGCTTGAGAGTTTCTATCATGTTGTCTTTTGGTCACACTGGAAGCATGCCACGAGTTCGCTATGGCTTTCGGTCTCTTGGGTTCTGGTTACGGAGCTTGACTTGGTCTGAGTGGCACACACAGACACAGGTACATATATATATATATATATCATATGTATGTCATATGTGCATAGGTATGTGTATGTCTACGCATATGTCTTTATATAGATGTATATATACACATATGTACGCACATACTGATGTGAAGCCTGAGGAATCCACTAGGGGTGCCCAGCGAGCTCAGTACCTCCCGATTGAGGAGTATACCGTAAACCGCAGCAGCGGGACTTCCACAGTTGAAGGCACTATGGGCCGTAGGGGTCGCAATATTCCGCAATAATGTCGTTTTATCGTCCGTATATAAGTGTACTAGATTAAAGCCTGGAGCCCGATTCTAATTCTGGTTATTGAGGCCACTATAGTGTGTCCTTGAGTTATGGAGTATTGGACTCTCCGGCTTAAGTAGGAGTAGTAGTAGTAGTAGTAGTAGTAGTAGTAGTAGTAGTAGTAGTAGTAGTAGTAGTAGTAGTAGTAGTAGTAGTAGTGGTAGTGGTAGTGGTAGTGGTAGTGGTAGTGGTAGTGGTAGTGGTAGTGGTAGTGGTAGTGGTAGTTGTAGTAGTAGTAGTAGTAGTAGTAGTAGTAGTAGTAGTAGTAGTAGTAGTAGTAGTAATACCATCAGCAGCAGCACAAACAGAAGCAGTTTGCTCCACCAGTAGTAAGTAGCACGAGTGAGCTGGCCATACGAACCAAAGGACGGGATTTGTTGAATATTGAATTCTGCAGCAAGCGCAAGGGCAACGAAGCATCAGCCCAAGGAGATGATCATCGTGCCCATACTATCCTTCGTGTCCTCTCTGGTGAAAGGCCTGTGGGAAGGAAACCTTGAACCCTAAAGCCTAAATATTAGTATACTATCAGCTTTTCAATTTCGAGGTTCAGGGTTGGAAGTGTTGTAGCTCACAGGGCGCACAGCGGGGTAGCGTAAGATGTTCGTGCGCTGGTGGGCTAGGCTGGCTTAGGGTTTGGACCCCTGAACCCCCAACCCCAACAACATATGCTGTCAATATATATATATATATATATATATATATGATGTGGTCTCTTTTTGGGTCCCTGCTATAGTACGGCACCTAATATTTAGGGTTCCCAAATTGGGACCATAATTTTGACAACCACCCGCATGTTAAGACAAGATCGTCATGTATACCCATGTGATGGATCGCCTGACACCATCCAAACTCTATACATCCTAAACCCGAACACACCCAGTCCGCCCCAAACCCGGCTACTCTCGAATAAGACGATAGAAGCTTAAAACCCAATACTATCCTGCCTTTGGGTTCCTTATCATACGTAAATTTATAGTACCATGTTCTTAAAAACCCTAAAACCTAAAAACCCTAAACCCTAAACCTTTTACAGTTACAAAGGCCCCCCCCCATATTAACTCTCAGCTCCAGCACTCGAATGTGTCCCTCAGAGGACTCAGCGGCATGGGCGAGGCCAGGGAGCTTTGTTAGGATAAGATGCGGCAGGCCTCATCAAATACTTTCTGGTATAATGTTTTGGTGTTTAGGGTTTGGGTTTAGGTGTTGAGGGTTGGGGGGGCGGGTACCTCATCTTTTGTGATTTCCCATGAAGGGTTCAGGCTTCTGGGATTAGGGAGTTGGTTTCCAGTGGAGTTGGGGTATCGGGCCATCGGGCTATTAGACCCTGAATATCCCGAAACCCCATTTCCGTAGTCCTTAAATATTATCTAAACCAACTTTGCTTTCTTCCCTAGTCCCTAAGCCACATTTCCTTGAATATCCTTTTGAGCCAACTAAGGTTTCCCGTAGTTCAAAGTTTCAAGCCGTTCAGGGCTTCCATTCTTGCCTGCGTAGCACAAAAAGGCTCATGAGATCTAGTAAGAAACCTTATAAGTAAGGTTGTAATTAGGCTTGCCCATACTTGGCGCATTTTTACTCCCTGTTATTACCGTAGTTACTCTGTCCCTTGAGCCCTGAAGTAAGCCTTCTCTCAAACCCAACACGTTGACCTTCTTTCTACACCCGATCTGTTTATGGACACTGAACCCTACATTTTAAGCTCTACGTCCTCTGCCCTGCATGGTTTCCGCCGAGGCTCTCGTCTACGGCTCCGGCTGGCAGCTTTTTGCGTTGGCTGGCTACCGAGAAATGGACGATTTGGGCCTTCTCGCAGGTCTCATCTGCGCCGCTGCCTTGGGAACGTAGCGGCTTACGGTTAGTAATTATTCGTATTAGTGTTGTTAATGTAGCCTTTGTTGTTAATCCTCTTCTTCTTACTATTACTACTGCTACTGCTGCTGCTGGTGCTTTTGCTGCTGCTGCTACTACTACTACTACTGCTACTACTACTACTACTACTACTACTACTAGTAGTCTTCCCATGTTGCAAAGTCTCACGTTGGGGCCGGATTGCCGTGAGGGGATCTCCCTGGTGTTTACCTCAAAACCCTATTCAAATCATTAAGGCCCTATATTCGGCCTGTAAGCCCGACATCTTAGGCTTAAGTAAGGCCACAGACCACAAGGCCATCAACCCTACAGCTCTCCTGCATTCTGAGACCTTAACGTCCCGAAAAGCTTACAACCCTGAACCCTGACCTAAACCTCCTAAATCCTGAGCGGGCACAAAGCCCTAGTCTAATTATTAAGGCCCCCATAGTATAGAACCCTTATAGTGGCCCTTATAGTAACCTCTGTAAAGGAGCCCTAAACCTTTTGAAGACCTGAAGCAGTCAATCCTCGGGCTTTGGGGTGTCGAAGGTCATGCAGTGCGCATCAACGGCCCTGCTCGCCATGCAAAATGGCCGCGAGTGGCGTCTCGGATGATAGCGTAGGTTGTTTTGGTCGGGGCATTTGGGTTCTAAAGTTAAGCCTGACCTAAATGCTCCTCTAGCGTTCGTCGGAGTGAACATGTTATAGACCAAGATCGAATCTGAGTCGGGGTCGTCTTTCCGTCACGCACTAGATGGTCCTGCACCTTCAAGTCCACGCCGAAGAACGAATCCTTCAACCAACAGCGAAAAGTGGGAGTTGCAGAACTTAAGGTTCAGGGTTCGAACACACGCCCATATATAGTCGGCTCCCTAACAGAAGGACACCGAAAGAAGGACACCGAAGACTAGACCAGACAAAATCCAGGTGGTGGTATGCGAAGCCGGGGGCGATTTTCAGCGTTGCCATGCTGCTGCTGTCGGCCGTCTGCAAGTGGCGGGTCCGATGGGGCCGAAATTATTACCAGTGCTTGGTTAAGGGGTTATATACGGGCTTTGGGGTTTGGGGTTGAGGGTTTAGGGATTTAGGGGTTTGGGGCTTGGGGTTAGGGGTTTAGAGGTTTCGGGGTTCGGGTTGTTTTAGGGTTTAGGGGTTTAGGGGTTCAGGGTTAACGGTTGGGGTGTAGGTTTTCGGCGATGCTAGTGGGAAACATGTGCATTTCGTTAGGGCTGTACCATTCAAGATCCTCGTTGTCTCGGTACGAGCCTGAAGCTCTGCAGCCCGATCTATCAGCCCAGGTCTCCTGTGGGCAACCACGTCAGGGAGGTGCCGTGTAGTCTCAAGTAGTGTCTGGTTTGTAGGGATCTTTGGGATTTACGAGGGTTTTGTGAAGATTCGTGTGCTCTTTTCAGTTATACAATGCTGTGCAGGGTTTCAGTTGCCAGAGGTCTACTCCGAGGTTCAAAGGTGCAACAAGTATGCAGAACACGGCTTTAAGGCATGTGCCGCACCTTAAACATCTCTATATCCTAAGTCCTATGCCCGCAACCTTCTTCACACTTCCTCGAAGTAGTGATCTCAGTAGCTTGGCATGCAACCACCCAAGTGCCGGGTTTGCGAGGCAGGATGTCAGGCTTCGCATTTGGGGCCCTAAGAAGATTCCGCGCTCCTGAGCACCGGAAAGGCCCCAGACCTTGCCCCCAAAACCTCCGAAGGTCCGGAACTAAAGGGTTTCGGGGTTAGTTAGGGCTGACCCATAGGCCCCACAGTAGTTCCTTTTTGGGATTAATATGAACCCCCAAAAGGAACTACTATGGGGCCTATGGGTAAAGTTCAGGGCTTCTGGTTAGGGTTTGCGGGTGAGGGGGTTCCGGCTTGTCGGTTTCGCATAGACTCTCAGCTTTGGACTTGTGATGCAGGTGGCGCCGACAGACACGATTCAGCTGGTACTGGCTCTCACGTTCCTGCGCCTTATCTGTCTTCACTTGTATTGGAGTAGTCGCGGCATCGTGTCCAGACCACGAGTGATGCGCTTCAGGACCATGCACGTGTGCTGGTGGGATATATCTATACATACATATACATATACATATATATATATATACATAGAGAGAGAGGGAGAGAACGAGAGTTATGAAGAGGTACGTGTTTGTATACCATAGCAGTCATAAAACTAGTTTCACGAGCACTAGTAAGGCTCCTTGCTCTGAAGGGCCTTGTTTCAGGCGTACCGCGGAGTCTTAAAGCAGCTGCTTCCGCTCAGAAGCAAGCCGACGGACTTTCTGGGGACTTCTGACGAAAGAATGGAGCTTGTCAGGAGCATTAGTTCGAAAATGCCTCCTCGAAAGAGCAACCTCCACCATGGGCTTTACCTACCTTCGTCTATATCATGAAGTTTAGAGGTTTTAGGTCTGGACCCTGTAGACCCCAAGCCCCAGCTGCATCAGAGCCCCCGCTTGGGAACCTCTTGCTATTCACTCCACATCCTTCGAGCCTCAGCCCACCATAAAACCTGCACCCCGATAGCGGAAAGCGTGCAACTCTCATGGGTATGTGAAGCCTTCAACCCTGACCAAACCCAAAGGACCTTTGCTTTGGCCAAAGTCGCCTTCGACGGTTTGGTGGCCCTGTGGCGGGCGAAGGCCGGAAAAGGGGTGGAGATGGCTCTTGGAATCTCGCTTGCATCGTTAATGTAGGGGCCAATATCAATTTCAATAGAGTTGGGGGGACTATACTATAATTACAACAAGGAACCCCCAAAACCCTATTCTAACTAATGAATAAGGCCCCTGCATTTGGGTGTATTTAGGGTTTAGGGATGAGGACGATGAAGATGAGGGCAGCCGCGTTCTTCGTGATGACGGTGGGTTGATGGTGCTGTCTGTTCCACAGGACGATGATGAGATTGAAGATGCAAGGTGGATGACATGATGGCGCTCGAGGAAGATGGTAGTGATGATGGGCTGCTGGTGCCTGCGTTGATCGAACTGTTGGCTGCATTGTTCTTTCATAGTCACGGCTCCTTTTTCCCTGTGCATTTACATATGTGCATTGTAGAGTAGCTCATTCGTATGAAGCCCCCTAAAAGCACAATCGCCTAAGACTTGCCTGGCCAGCCCCAGATTGCCTTGTCCTGTTTTTGTCAGGGCGGCGGTGCTTACTCCGACCCGCCGCAAGCGCACGGCGCGGTTTGCGCCAAAGGCCCTTGCATCTGGGAAGATGCCTTCATGTCTCAGGATCTGACTAGAAAATGATGGGTTTTGGGAGCGGGCTTTTTCCCCCTAATTTCCTCGCCTCCGGGCTCCTTTAGCTGTGGGGACGTCACGAGTTCAACGGGAAGCTGCGTCATTCCACTATCCGTGTTGTAGCAGTAGCACGAGATAGCCTTGGCGACAAGATCATATATGATGGACGAACGTATTTGATTATGACTCGTGTGTGAGATGTGAAAGATTTCGTGGCATCACGGGGCCTACTTCATATGCCCGTGCATGCACATGAACTGTGAGGCGTTTTGGATTACGCCTTCGAGTTGGGCAGGGAAGTCGGGTTTGCGGCGTGATGATGTTAAACCATGGTCCTAAACTAAAATTTTAAAAGCCTTATACGTGACAATTTTGATAAGCATGATAAGTATAACAACAAAATAATGTTGTAACATTTGACATCAGCAATGCATAGCAATAGCACCTGTAGTAATAAACATGATGATGCTAGTGATGGCAATAAATAAAACCTATAGTACTGCCAATAATGATAAGGGTCGTAGTGGTAGTAGTCGTAGTCGTAGGCGTAGTCGTATTCGTAGTAGTACGTAGTGATACCAACAATAAGAAGAAGGGTCATTGCAACACTAGTAGTCATAGTAACAATAGACTGACCAACAATGCGTTGTCTAAGTCTTCCACATGAGATCCTAAAGTTGCTAATTGACGATGCAGGCAATATATGTTTCAGGTTCTTAGATGGAGAAGAAGATATAAAGGGTTTAGGTTGTAGGGTCATCCTTCCTGTATGTGTTATGCCTGAAGATGCACAGCTATTTTTGAGCCGGCGAAGTCCCAGATTGACGTGCTTTACCCCGGATATGCGGTTCGAGATTTAGTGCATACCAGAGGTCTTTCGAGTTCTCAAAAGTAATCCCCTTCATGGCCCTTTTATAGTAGCACTATAGTTCAACACAATATACACCAAAACCCTGCTCTAAGTAGGAAGGCTCCTATATCTGTATCTATACATCTATCTGTCTATATATATATATATATATAGATAGATAGATAGATAGATAGTTAGATAGATAGATAGATAGGTGAGTTGTTTGAGTTTGGAGCTCCTCAGCCCTATTCTTCGGAGGTGCAGAGACGCCGCCACCGGTGGAAGAAGCCCCGGAGACAGATGTGCCGGAGAAGTCGGAAAAGAGGCTGGATTCATGGTTTCGGGATTTGGGCATCAAGTCGCTTGGGCGTTGCTCTGCTGCTACTCCGATGACAGCCTACTTACATAGTGCATCTGCTTAACCTGCTGGTTACACCGCACTACGACAGCCCAACCCAGGCAAGCTTTCAGACTCATGTACTGCAGATTGGAATTTCCACTTAAACCTTTAGCCTTAACCCTAATATTGTCACATTTGGGTGTTCGGAGTTGGTTCAAGCAGCACAGTAACGGTTTCAGGCTACCCAGGGCTTCCCGGTACCGAAATCATGACTCTCTGATGTACGAGTTCTTCAGAAACATGGGTTTAGGGTTTGGGGTTTCTGGTTTGGGGTTTGACCTTGCAACGGGCTCGGCGCTAGCCGATCTCTCCGCAGCAGCCTCACCCTCTGAGCCCTTGTTGTTGCCCTGCACTGCATTGATGTGACCAAGAGACCGATCCTAACGACACTGTGCACTTTGGGTAGAACAGGGGCCGAAGTAATTACCAATACTATTTTGGGGGTTCCTTATTATAACTATAGTAAAATGGGGCCCAAAACCATTACCAATACTACTTTGGGGGTTCCTTATTCACCGAAACCTTCAAGCAAGACGACCCTAGACACTGCCTGAAAGTCCTGGCTTCGCGATGAGGTTGCCCCCGGCTCCTCCATGGCTTCTACGGGCCCTGCCGGGTGTAGGCCGGTTATATACAAAGGGCACCTAGGGATCCCCTTTGCTTTCTGGTGATTCAGGGCTTCTTTGTCTTTTGTTATCAGAGCGCCCACCGAGAAGGATCTTTGTTTTGTCCTTCCAAGCAGGACCTAAGCAACGCCAAACCCAAAACCCAAACCCTAAAGAAGAATAAGCATGCTAGCAATAATAATGCTAGCAACAATGCTACTCAGAATACTAACAATGTGAAGAAGAAGAACGGCAATACAAACATTGAGGTCTTGGGCACTGGCGTAGACTCTGTGAGTCGGACCTGGGGTATAGAGGTTTAGGGTGTAGGCCCACCCCTTCCAATTTCCTGGAAATCATCAGTGATGGGTGAGTGCCGAGCTGGTGTAGGATTTTTGAGTCCAGGGCTTCGGGCAACACAGGGTTTAGGTTTCGGGCCCCATTGCATGTGTAGACCTAAACCCTAAAGCTCAAGCAGTTGATGTCATGGGGGTTCCCGACTTGACTTAGATTGATTGGGTTCGGCTGTGGCAAGCCTAGAGGCCCAGGGGACATAGTAAGTAGGTTATGAGTAGGGTTATAAGAACCCCAAATGGAGTTACCCCAACTATAACCCTACTTATAGCCGACTTACTAAGTCCCGTGGGATCTAAGAGATTCGTCACAGGCTGGTACAGTAGATCGTCTACTGACTTGCTCAGCGCATCATTTGATGCCAGACCACTGGGCCCCCTCAAGCCCAAACCCTAGGTGTACCGTAGTAAAAGGGATCTTCAGGCCTCCGATCCCAATATTCCCGAAGCCCGACACCCCAAACCCTTAAAGAGGTGCTTGAAGAATCATGAACAAATAAACCCCCCAGCCCCAAATCCGAACATTGCAAAGGCTTAGTCGGTGGCTTCCTGGGCGGCTTGTCCGGCCCTTGGATCTGTCCGGGCGACAAAGGGACGTTGTAGGGTTCATGTTTAACAAAATCTGCTTGTGTGTGTAGTGGTCGTATAGTTGTGGTAGCAGCAGTGGCGGTAGGATTGGGGGGAAGCAGCAGCGTCGCTGCATATGGGGTTCGCAAGAAGCCCTGCAGCCGTATGCCACATGCTCATCCTGGCATGTTGCCCAGCGTTTCGCACCTTCTGCTCAGCACATGTGCACAAGGGCCATCAACGCACACGGCCCACCAATCCTCCGAACTCAAGCCGGACAAGCTTCGAACTTGCCAGGAACCCAAATCGCAACAACCGGTGACACTCGACTCGGCACAAGCATTGTGAAGCCCTATTTGTGGCAAACCTGGGCTCAAAAGAAAAGCCAACGCCCTCCAGCCGAACAGATCGGTAAGTAAAGGGTCACCTAACTTGTGTAGACCTGCAGGCAAAAGAGTTCTTGACACAAGGATCCCTAAATGAGGTTCCGGTTGATTTTAAACAAAGCCGCGTCTTGAGGTGTGGCATGAATGGACCACCCTTCATCCTGCTTACGGCAATCACGGGTCTTGACAAGGCTGGTTTTGTTGCTGTGCAGAGGACTTGAATGCTTGACTTCTCCGTTCGAGTTGCAGAGCTTGAGCTTGTGAAGGCTTAACACCACGCCTGCCTTAGTCTGATCCTAAACCAAACCCTCAGCGCCATAGATGTTCTGGTTTCACCGAGACCTTCGCCTTCTTACTGAACTGCACTGCACCACGTCGGATTCAGAAACTCCGGTGCAGGTTTCCTAAGGTTTGGGGGGTCGGAAGCAGACCTCCGGGTCCATGTACCTATGTGTAATACATACATACACATATATATATATATACACACATACACATGTGTGTGTATATATATATATATGTATATGTATATGTATATATATATATATGTATATTACACATGTAAACATACATGTATATGTATACATACATATACAGATATGCACACATATAAGCATACATTTTGTATTTCAGGTGTGTGTACATAGACATAGATGTGTATAACAGTATATTAGATATACATAATATATATATATATATATATATATACATATAAATAAATAAATATATATATATATATATATGTACAACTATATGTCCGTCTCAAGTTTACCATTTGGTCATGTAGGATTTCCGTTTAAGCCAAAGTACACACTGTGTAGGTACAGGGATTTTGGGGAGTCTAGATTAAGTCTGCTTTCGAGTCCGAAATTCCACGCCACCACACGGCCCCGAACTCTAAACTCAATAATTCGTGTAATTCCCGACGACCTCAGCACCCTACGACCCCAAAGCCATCCTGAACCCTAAACCCTAACTACTAGACCCTAACCCCTAAACCCAAAGATGTAAGCCCTAAACTGTAATTACATACATACACACGCACACACACCTGCACACCTGGGTATAGATCTATGCAAGTGGATGTGTGTGTGTGTGTGTGTGCGTACGTACACACCTGATCCCTCCAGGTGATCGCCCGCAACGTCTTCCCTATGGGACAGGCCGTTGAGGTCATGGCCCTAGGTCCTTTGATGGGGAGTCCGGGTTTTGGAGGGCATCTATGGGTTTTTTAGCGAAAGCTCGAGTGCAGAATTCTTAAGGAGTTGGGTTCTTGTTGGGACTTTCGGGTGCAAGGCTGCGGGGCTGCAGGGTTTAGGGCGTCGTTTGGAACTCCTTTGCGGGTTTTGTCCTCTATGGCTATGAATTTTGTATTTGACTTGCAAGGTTCTTTGACAGCAGGCCATTGTGGTTACCGGGTGCAAAGGGATTGATAGGAGAATTTTCCAGAGGGTTTGATTTGGAATCAGAGGCAACCACCACTTGCCCTAGAAACCTTGCTGGGAGGTATTTGGCTGCCACACACCACATTGGTTTGTTTTCTCCGGGGTTGTTGCGAGCGAATAAAACTATAAAAGGCTTTTCGTGCAAAGGCACACCAGAAACCCTAGCAAGGCCAACAGTTCCAAGCACGGAAACAGAACTCTAATTCATGAGCGAAACAGGGCATGCCTTCTACTAACCCGCTGCAGGAATAGGACTATATAGGGGCTGTAGTAATTGGAATAGGGTTTGGGGGCCCATTATACAATAATTATATCAGGGAACCCCCCTAAAACAATTAGTATTGGTACAGTAATCATATCGGCCCCTATATACCATAAACCCCAAACCCTAAACCCCAAATTTCAACTGGAGGTCTGGACTTTCCGGCTGCCGATGCTGCTGGTTCTGGGCAGAATACAGCCGCCCGGTCCTGTTTGGGGTTTCCCCAAGGGTCCAAAGGACCCCATACTTAGGTACTCGGTTTTGGGGTAGTAGTTAGGTAGGCTAGGATTTTGGAGAGTATATGATTATAAGGTGCTTGGACCCTTGGGGTTCAGGCTTCTTTCACTTTGCCTCAAGCTGCTGCTTTCTGTGGGCTGTTGAGCCTTCACCCTTGTTTGCACAAGACCCTACAAGATCCGCAAAAGTAGTGGACATACTTCAATCTCCATATCTCAATCGTAACGTCACGAAATATCTTGTCTGTCAAGGTTCCAGGGGGTTGGCGAGACTTGCTTGACCGGTACCCAAAGAACGAGAAGTTCTTACTTATTAACCCCCAAAAGCCCTAAACCCCTAAACTCTAAAATCCCCGGAAGCTCTGAGTACCAGGTTGGTGGACGCCCACCTCTACGTGGTCAGAAGCTGGGCTTTGAATTGAAAACCTGCTACAACCAAGAAGTTTGGGGGCTTAGGGGCTTTGGGTTTAGGGTTTAGGGTCTCTAACTCAACTCCGGCTCCCTGTAATAGGATCCTTCTTAGGGGGACAGCAAGGGTTAGTCGGATGGGATTTTGTGGTTGGTGCTTTCTGGTGTCAGACCCGTGGCAGTTCGAGGATCTTTGGCGGAATGCAGGGCCACAATCGGCAAAACGAGAAGCACCTGTGGGCATGACGTTCCTTCCTGTCGGAGCTGTTGCATCTTCCTTGTTGCGTGGGTAAATGGGCACAATCATAGACTCGCCATTTCAAGGGAAGTTCTGTCTTGGCGCCATTGTGGAGTCTATGGCATGCAGAAGACCAATTCAGATCCTGGTATTGCACCAGGCGCCTCAAATGTCACTAATTCTCGTAACATGGAGGTTTCAGAGCACAAGCAAACCCTACTATAGACACGAAATTATGCGATCAATAGTAAGAGGGCAGCCAAACAGGACTTCTATATACTTTTCAGAAGCCACCAGGACTCTTGCATGCTTATGGTGCAACGCCAAATTCTATGCATTTGGAACCCGTATGGGGCCTTCCAGAACTATTCCATACTGTGCTCTTGTAATCCACGTGGTTGTGTAAATACATGTAACGTGCTATACTAGCTCCTATACCTCGATGGCCTTCTTAAGGGAAAGGTGCAGAAGCCCGAGCCCGACTGTAGGTTGATTGATTTTGTGGTACAGACGCAGCACCAAACCCTAAACATCCCTAAACCCTATAGCCCCCGAACCTCTAAAGCCCCAAGATCTAAACCCTAAACACAGGCCGAAGAGTCCTGTTCAACGCTTAGACACACAGCCGCTACCTTACTTGCAACCTGCCACCAAAACTTACAGTAGCTCAATTGCAAGGCTCCGAGCCATAGTCTAAGTCAAAGCCCTAAACCTTGAACCGCCGGAGCCGAGAGCCTAAAACCCACGCCTTGTAAGCCTTGAAGCCTAAGCCCTTAAACCCTAAAGCCTATATCATAGGCCTGTACCTTAATAGAACCCTTATTCAACCCTCATGGAGCCAGCTTGAAATCTTCAACCTCAAAGGTACTGTATAGAAGTAGCTACAACATAACTTGATATTGTTCCCTTCTCCTGTTATACTGTACACATATCTATATATATATATATACACACACTACTAAAGTATACTATACTATCCTACGTACACGCTGGAGCCCGTTTCGAACCATCATGGCCCCTATATCACATTCCCAGGCTTTCTCGCCGGATCGTTGGGTATCTCGGCGGAATCTTTCTTCTTCGGGGTTCCGGACAGTTTACCCTAAGGGTCCGTGTACCCACATAGTATCTCCTTTGGCCTAAGTACTAAATGTAGTCCCTGTTCAGGTACATTGGGGCCGAAGTATGTACTATTTGGGTACATGGACCCTTAAACCCTAAACCCTAAACCCTTATAGGAACCCTTATAGGCACCCTTATAGGAACTCTTAAAGGAACCCTATTTGGGTACATGGACCCTTAGGCTCAAGGATTGGAGCTGCTATCAGGGCCCCGCCCTTCGTGCCACCGGTCTCACCTTTTTTGCTGCCTAAGTAGGCCGGGGACTTTGGCCCAGAAAAAGACAGGGTTCTACAAAGTATGGGCGGTGTCGAATCTTCGGGTTTAAAGCTTAGGCTGTACGGCTTGGTAGTTCCGGTTTCTGGGTTGGGGTGTGTAGGACTGCATGTGGTCTGGGTCTGGGCCCCAAAGTTCGTAGAGTTTGCAGGATTGAAACTGAAGTTTTGCTTCGGAAATGAAGACTTGAGTTTGAGGGGGCGGGTTTGCTGCACTGTACTTAGGCTGCATCCTAGTGCCTAGAGCTTTGCACCTTCGGTGCTTCGGTCTTCAAAGTGCTTCTGTTCATCTATGGCGCGTAAAACCTTTTCAATTTTGTTGCTATGGATGTGACTATTGCGCCGTAGTTTCGCTAAGTCGGACAAAACTCCCAATGGTTACCCCTAAATCGTCGGCCTTGCATGTTGTGTCCCTAGACGGCGAAACTTACTTGGAGCGCTTCACGGCAGGCTTATGGGCCGGCAATGCTCTAGCGCCGCTTCTCGGCTTCTTTCAGGACCATGGAGATCTGCGGGAAGCAAGGCTTTTGCGTTTGCTGGCTTTAAGATACAAGGTTAGGATCCTAAGATAGAGATTTTGGTGGAACTACAATGGATACCATATAGGTAAGGCTTGCGTGTTTCGAGATAAACGCCCACCGCTGTCTACCTGGGGTTGCCCGATATCTCCGTAAGGCACGCGACAGTGGGGAGGGGCTTCTCCCTTCTGTTTTGGGAGAAGTTTGGGGTCTTGAACTATACCCCACAACCCTGTTCTCATTAGTAAAGCCCCTATGATGAACCCTGAAAAGGAGCCCTATTCTCATCATCAAGGCCCCATATTCCTTGGTCCTGCCTCAGCGAGCTACTTTCTTTTGATTCGACCAGCCTTATCAAACCTTAACTGTCGTATCGGGGCCTTAATCGTCAGAATAAGGGCTTCTAAGTGTCATGTAGAGTTTACGCGTTTTACTGATTAGAATAGGGCTTGGGAAGCATATTGAAGTACGAATGTATGAAACTCGTTTCCCAAGTAACTCCCACGCACCAAAGCTGCTTCATTGAGGTATGTGTCGCAGCGCTGGTTCGAACGAGCTTTGCTGCTTTTCTTGGTGCCACCCCAGACAGCACGTAGACTGTTGGTATGGGAGGTGTTTCTTGCAGTAGTACAGCAAGTGTTGAGGTTTTAGGTTGGTTTATTGTGCAACGTAGAACTTGTTGAGTTATAAGTCAGTTTCTGTGATCTGTGATGATATCAGGCTGTCTGGGCTTGCTGTTCATGGTCTTTGTGTTCCCTCAGTTTTCATGGGACAGCTTGTGGTGTCCGTGGTATAGGGGCCTAAATAATTACCAATACTATTTGGGGGGCTCCTTATTATAGCTATAGTAAAATGGGGCAACACCCTATTCTAATCACAAAGGCCCCTATATTGCGTGCTTTAGTTTTCTTCGTGCTGTCGTTCGGTGGAAAACCCAGGCCATTCAGGTCCTCGATTCCTTTGGATACCCATGGGCTCCACAGTAGTTCCTTTTGGGGATTACCCTATAGGATTCGAAATATGAACCACAAAATATAGTAGTTGCGTTTTGGGGTTCATATTTAGAATCCTATAAGGTAGCCCCAAAAAGGAGCTACTGTGGAGCCCACGGATGAGCTACGAAGAGGAGTCTCAAATCCTGAACCCTAATGCGAAATCCTAGATCTTGAACCCTGAAACCTGTTAGCCCTAACCGCCAGCCCGAAACCGCTTAACCTTCCAAGTCCCTAGCCATCCTCAGCTGTGCCAGTATTTTCTCGAAGAGCCGCTGAACCCGCGGAAAGCCTAAAGAATAAAGTCCATGCAATGTGAACAAGCTGCTAACAGTGTAGCTAGGACCCAAAGTAGGCCCTTATTCCCTTTTTTAGGGTTCAGGTTCCCTTATAACTCCCTTTAAGCCAAAAAGGGCACCCTTTTTATTCCTGGGTTGCTCTTAGGTCTAGGTAGAGAGCCTAAGCTCAACAAGACAGGCCAGAACCCTGAGGCATGAACCCGAACTACGTTTGCTGATATAAATCCTGCATTACCCATAAGAAGGAATATACCATAAATCATCAACCGTAGAAATTCCAGATCAGTCTTTGTGCTTGGCACCAAAAGGTGCTCTCCTCGCTGAGCGTGCTGGGCATTTTCGAAGGCTTCTGGTGAGTAGGGTTTGGGGCTAAGTGTTACCAGGTCACTGAAAATTGTGTAAGTATCTGCTTCGGGTCGTATCCATGAATATTTCTGAAGGAGTTTCAATTGTCTAAACCGAGGTCAAGACACTAGAGTTGTCAGTACAGTTCGATTTGTCCAGGGTGTTTGTCATTGGCATGGGTGATCGTTTGTTCACGTCGGCTGCCTCCCGCCGCCGCGCAGCCAACACCAACATTCATCAGTCTACCCTTGCCGGGTATGTTCATGATACTGTTGCACCGTGGCCTACACCCTAAACCCTAAACCTTGTAGGTTCGTTTGGGTGGTGCAGCAAGGTGGGTCGTCTTACGGATATAAGCTTCGACGGAGTGTTGCCAGAAACTGGTCACTACTAGCAGTTGAGGGTTCTAGGGTTTAGGATGAGTAATCGAATTACTCATTTCTAGAACCCCAAAAGGAAAGGGACTCAAAGCCTATAAACCCTAAAACCTCAAAACCCCAAACCCTAAGCCCAAGGGTTCACATGTCAGGCCGCCCCGAGAGCATCTTTGCCTTGGCGGCCTCAGCGATGGTTTCTGGAGCACGTCACTGGGTGAGTGATACGTAGGGTTGAGGGTTTAGGTTGTAAGGGTTGTGGCTGATAGGCTACACCCTTAGTGTCTCCGTATGATTATACTACCTAGTAATCGAGTAGGTATAGTGCCTATATCATCCCTATATAACCGAAAAGGTTAACCTTGAGTTCCCCATGATACCCGACAAGTAGGTTAATTCCAAGTATTCAGGGCCCAGTGGTCTGGACGGGCCTCTGGCTGGTACAAGGGCTTCACTGTTGTTTTATCGAGAGGTACTGGGGCTGTGCTGTCTGCCATTGTCATAGCAGTAGCCGTAGCGTTAACGGTAGTAGGAGTAGTGGGAGTAGTTTGGGGGTAGTAATAGGAGCAGTGGTGAGATTAGGAGCAGGAGGAGGAGGAGGAGTTACAGTAGTAGTAGTAGTAGTAGTAGTAGTAGTAGTAGTAGTAGTAGTAGTAGTAGTAGTAGTAGTAGTTGTTGTTGTTGTAGACGTAGCAGTAGCAGTAGTACCAGCGAAACCCTCGTCATCATCGCCAACATCAGCGGATTGAATAACTGACAGTGCCAAGTCCATTCTTGTATGTATCTGAATAAATGCCTTTACATATGTGACAGTAAGTAGCGACAAGCGGTCGTTGTAGTGAGGATTCTTTTATGGTTGCCAGTTGAGCGGTGTCGATGGCGTAAGCCAAGGACTCTACGATCTTATCGAAGCAGCCAAGACATCTCCGAGGAGTGTACTTACAAGAAAGCGCTGAAGAGAAAGCCAACCCAAGAAAAGCCCTGTCTGCGCTGCCCTAGTTGGGCTCACAAAACGTATTTATGTAGATGTAGCAGGTTGCTGTCTTGAGGCGCCGTATACAGCCCTGGATACCCCACGCCTTACACTCTAGCCTGTAGCCCTTAAGCCCCTTAGCTCCAGCACTCTAGGTTTGCTCTGCGCCTGGCATCATGGAAGGAAAGCTCACACCTGATTTGAGCCCCGATTGCAGTTGACGTGTCTTTACGGGCAGGGTAGGGTTTGGTGAGTATACGAATCATGCGGTGCACAAGCAGTACTGCCTGGGTGTCAGAAACCTATAAGTAATACCTCTGTAGCAGGGCGGGAAAGCTTTAACTTGTCTTGCTTTCACATGGGTGGTGGTCAAAATTATGGTGCCTTTGTGGGTCCCTATTATAATACGGCACCTATTATTTAATATATTTGGGGTACCCAACAAGGGACCATGATTTCGACAACTACCCACATGCCATTAGATGAGAAGGTCGGCTTCTTCCGGGCCGAACTAGGGTACCTACTTGGCTAAATTGAATGTCAGGCTTAGTGGCAGGAAGGGGTCTTGGATACAACGTTTGGAATACAGGGCCTTGGGGGTTTGAGTTAATGAGCTCGCAGCCCAGGTTTTAAAGAGGTTACCCATAGGCCCCACAGAAGTTCCTTTTTGGGATTACCTTATAGACTTATCGAATTCTAAATAATTTGAATATGAACCCTAACAATTTGGGGCCTTATGGGTCCACTTTCGGCAAGTCTACTTTGCTGTTTGTTCTGGCTCTTTGCGTTCACTTAGGGGCTTCAGATAGAATTCGACGCTTTTCTCTATGGTTTTGAACTTGGCCAGCATGAAGCTGCGCGTGGATCGAGAAGCCCGGAGGAGCACTGTTCCAACTCTTCAGGCCCCGTAATGTACAGCATGATTTGGTACCTTGATGCTGGGTTCTTGTTAAGGAACTGAGTTTAACTCACCATAATAGGGATCTATAGTACATGATATGGCTTCCTTATTATGGTACTTTAAATTACCACCATAGGGGTCTATCGTAAATAAGATGGCTTCCTTATTATGGTACCTTAAACTGAATCCCTTAACTTAGTTCACCATAATAGGGACCTATAGTAAATAATATTGCTTTCTTATTATGGTAGCTTAAATTAAATCCCTTAACAAGAACCCAGGATGTCAGCTCCCCCTGCACTTCCCGGTCTGCAGGTTCCGGTTCAGGGTTTGTTGAGACTCGTGGCATGTGCGCCTCCTGGAAGGGTGGTACAGTTCGGGATTTGCCATTAACTAAATGGCTAGATATACACACGCATATATATATATATACACACACATACATACATACATACATACATGTGTACCTATACATAGATATGTTGGTTATGAGCCACTGCCTGTGGACAGAGAGAGAGAGAGAGAGAGAGAGAGAGAGAGAGAGAGAGAGAGAGAGAGAGAGAGAGAGAGAGACAGAGAGAGAGCGAGCGAGGCCTTGCTAATAGGACCCCAAGGGCTTCAGGGGAGACGTCCCCCCATAAGGTCAAGTCCACAAATGCTTTATCTGATAAGCTGGATCGCTGAATCTTTCGAGCGTCGCTTCCTAGGGTAACTTGACCTGAAGCCCCGTCCTCACTGGCGTAATCTGACCACCTGCTGCGGGGAATAACCCTGACACGGCAACACAGCACAGCATGATAGTTTTCGGTAGCATCCTGTATGTCAGCTTTGGCTTGTCGAAGTGCAGTTGCCGAGGGCAGAGCTCGGACAGACAGAGCCGTGGTCAGAGGATCGCCATTTAACCACCTCCGCAACAGTCGGGGGCGCACAAGCGCGCGGTGTAGGGGGTCAAACCCCTACACCAGAGCCCTGGCGAAAGAAAGAGAGAGCGACAGCGAGAGTGAGAGAGTGTGCGAGAGAGACGGCTAAAGAGAGACAGCGAGAGAGAGAGAGAGAGAGAACACAAGATAGAGAGAGATAGAGAGAGAAAAATAGCGGTCAGGGAAAGATGGAGCAGGAAAAGGAGAGGGACGGTAGATGTTAGCGCACATGACCAAAGCCTAGGTGCGCCCATGCCGTCGAGATCTGGATTCAAAACAGCAGGGGCCTTTTCCACGATGGAGTGGAAGGAGGACTGTCGAAGGACCAAAATAAGAAGCGATCCCCACTGTAAGAGATGCCTATACGAGTTGCTACAAGGTCTACTATACAGGCCAATCTAAAACCCCACGTATGTTCTCAAACCTTAACCCTAAACCCTAAACCCACGTATGTTCTCAAAGGTGAACATGCCATAGCATTGAGGCCTTGGAGCCCTCCTGAGATTCTTCGGCCAGGATTGAGTAGAGACTTCGCAGACTTCGGAAGTGCATAGGGTAACCAAAGGTTTAAGGGTATATCATGATACTTCGGGGTACTTAGAAATGATTTTTAATTTTTGGTTATTATTATCCCCAAGAAACAGCTAAAATTACAATTTTGCTAGGGTTCTAAGTTCAGTATAGTATATGCTTACAGAATAACGATGACGACAATATCGAGAACCATGTCACAGATTCTTCTGATCCCTATGTTCTTTGTTTACCGTTTGTGCCAGGATGCACAAGATCTTCGAGGACGTCGCTGGATGTTCTGTGATGCACGGCTTGTTGTTGCAAGTCTGATGCCACGCGCACTTACCATTCGGCAACAGAAATAGCATGTTTTCCCCAAGTACAGCACTGGTTCCTGAACCCTAAACCTCCAGACCCTCATTAAACCCTACAGCTCTACACCACAAACCCCTAAAGCCGTACGGCATAAAGCCCCAAACCCCGAACCCGAAATGGGGACAGCAACCCCGCGACTTCGAAGAATTTCTCTGACTGCCTGGCCAAAGAAGTTCTGTATGCCGGGCCTCCAACTGCGTGTGCGAGGACAAAACTCTTGGGCATCTCAGGGTTTCTAGGGCTTTACCCATAGGCCCCAAAGTAGTTCCTTTTTAGGGTTCATATTTAGAATGCTATAAGGGAATCCCGAAAAGGAGCTACTTTGGGGCCTATGGGTAGGGCTTCAGGGTTTGGGGGGCTTTAAGGTTTAGGGCTTCAGGCTTTCGGGGGCTTAGTGATTTGGGGTAGAGCTTCAGGGCCGTAGCGCTTTCGAGTCGGAGAAATCGTTCCTGAAAACCAGTTCTCCGTTCCACCATCTTCGGTCTCTAAACCCTAATCCCTAACCCTAGGGATCAAAAAAGGCCCAAAAGCCTTATATAGGATGGTCTTTGAGCCCAAAAGCCTTAATTTGTGAGTCCTTAGATCCCTAGAGTAAACCCTAGAAGCCAGTCCCTACAGACCCAAACGCTTGAAGAAGCCCAAGAAGATGCTTCTTTGATGGGTTTCCGGGGTTCAGCCGACACATTGAGCCAACGGCCTACTCTTCTATGCAAGGCGGCGATTGAAAACCCTAAACCCTAAAACCCTAAAACCCTAAACCCTCAAACCCTAAACCCTGAAACCCTAAACCTTAAAACCCTAAACCCTAAAACCGACAGCAGAACTGTTTTGTAAGATAGCGCTAACTGCAAAGGCTGCGTTGTGTTGCCGTAGTTAGGGTAGCTACTCTAACAGCTCGGCTTCCGTGGCCTAAATACTGGTGTTATGGAGTTGGCGTCATATAATGCTGGTCGTGATGCTGCTGATGCTACGACTACATTTCTACTCCTGGTCCGTCTTGCTCCAACTCCTGCTTTTGCTCCTCCTGCTACTCCTGGTCTTACTCCTGCTCCTGGGCCTCCTACTCCTACTCTGACTCACGGGCCGAACCGCACTCCTACTCCTACTCTCACTCATACTCCCATCCGCACTACTACTATCGCGATCACTGTCACCGCGAACGTCACTGTTACGACCACACTCGCTCTCACTTTCAAAATTGCGATAATGGCGCACAATCGCTGTCGCTATCGCTACGACGATGAGTAGTACGACTACTACGACTACTACGACTACTGCGACTACTGCGACTCCTACTACTACTACTACTACTACTACTACTACTACTACTACGACGTACTACCACCACCACTTCCAATGGTAGTGGTACTGTTCATAATGAAGATCGTGTGTTGAGCAGGTCTCTGGCGTCGTGGGCCAGGCAGGTGACAAGCTGGAGTTCCAGCAACCCGGCCGCACGTGCACCGACCTCGGGGCTTTGAGGGATCAGAGTACGAAGGTTCAGGGTTTATGGTTGCAGGCTGTAAGACGGAGGTTATCTAGATTCCAGGGGGGAAAATTCATAGAGATCAGACAAGTTTAAACGCATCTTTCCAAGTCTTGTCCGAGGGTGAGGGTAGGCCTGGATCATTGCTCACCACGCGTTTGGGGGGGGGTTAGGGGAGGGGCACGTTCTGTTTTGTAATTTCTGTATATGGTTTGAGGTTTCGCTGCTGAAACAAGCAAGAATCCCCTTTCCATTTTTTGCTGCGCAGTTCTGCTCGAACTGCTTGCGAAGGCGCAAGACACTGAATATCAGAGCTACAGTAGCTACAGGAATGTCTCAGGACATTTCATATGTTATACTTATACACTATTACTAGTTGTTCCGACCCTGTAGCACACCTGCAGTTAGTGTTTGTGCCTGCGTTAATCCAGCAGCTTCGGTTCGGGTGCGCTTCGCTACGCTTCCGGGGTCAGCAAGATTACAGATGGTTTAGGGTTTAGGGTTCTAACTTGTTGTCTCACTTTGCGATTCTCTAAATGTGGCTCTGACCCCGAACATGGAACGATCCACAGTGTGGCTTGAACATTTCTCAATACACAGACTATCTAGGACTGTAGGATATAACCCTAAACCCCCAAACTCTGAGGTATTTGAGGCCGGCTGATTGGACCAGCGGAACCATCACAATGACTGACATTTGCCTCACTCCGCAGGCAGGGCTTCCGCACATTAGGGTCCCGGGGTTTGGGGTTTAGGGGTTAGGGTCAGTGTTACATGAGCCTTCCGAGCGTTGGGTGTCTTGGTTTCATTGTTTGGGGCTTTGGGTTGTGGCTTTATGGATTTCATGAATCACTAGTTGTCTTGAGACCCCCAGCGACAGACAAGTGCTGTGACTCAGCTCTTTCCCTTACGTTTTCTGGGATGCTTGGGTTTGACACCAATGTAGTACCCTAAATAGTAGGATCCTTATGCACTTTAAAAAAAATAGTAGGATCCTTGTTATA